AGTCGGACGAGGAAGACGAACCGTCAAGAGCAAAGAAGCCGCTTTCGCTCGCTGAGAAGCTCCAACGCAACCGCCAACAAAACCCGATCTCTGACGAGTCCGAAGAAGAGGAAAGCTCGGAGGAGGATGCGCCGCCAAAGAAGATGTCGCTTGCCGAGAAGCTCATGGCTCATCGTCGCATAAACCCCATCGAGTCCGAGTCCGAGCCCGAGACGGAAGGTACTATCGGCGTTGACGATACCGATGACGAAGAGGATGAAGAAGAGGACGAGGATGAGGAGAGCGGCATGTTCATGAACATGGCCGAGGAGGGCGAATCTGGCGACGAGCAGGACGAGGATGACTACTAGACGTAGGGAAGCGATTCTTTCTTAAACTCACTCACGTCCGCATGTACGATGGATAGATGTATCACCAAAAACGCTTCCTTAGATATTTTTAATTTGATGAAGTCTAAAGTTTTCCAATTCCGTAGCAAACCAGATCAGGCGCAACTGAAAACCACAGAATCGCTTTAGACTCTTTTTAATCGAAATCCACCAGTCAAGGTCACCAGGCAAAAAGTTCTCAAATTCAAACGTAACAAATCATCGCGAACAGGTGCAACTAAAAACCACAAAATCCCTTCCGACATTTTTTCAAAAGAAAAAAAGTAATCAGTCAACTCAGCACACAAAAGTTGACAAAAAAAGCAATAGTTCGGAATAATCTCGCTTGGGGTGCAGAGTCCCAAGGGAGATTCGAACCTATGAAACTCACCCGAAGGTTGGTTTCTACCCTCACTTTGACTTGCCGCTGGGCTAAAGACGGCCTCTGGAGTTACGGATGCGGCCGGCCAGGACGAGGGAATCGAACGGCTACCTTAGCTATAAAGGATGGAAGGAAGGTGTGGGTGTGGTGAGACCGTGAGGGTTGATGTGGTGGTACCTGTATGGGCGGGAGGACAAAGGTGAGGTGAGGTGAAAGGTGACAGAAAGATGAGGTTGTTTGTGGGACTGCTGCCTGGGGCAAGTTCACCTCACAACGGTCGATACCACCGAGAATGCATCTATGAGATTGGCAATTGCGTATGACAAGTTGGATTAGTTGGCACCAGGCTGTAGGAGCTATACTGCGTGCAGCACTGCAACTATCTCGAGCCTCAAAGAGGTGAACTAATTATCAACAATTTTCAGATCTTCTCCATGGCTATCGTCATCATCCCTTCAATTTTTCCCACGTGTTACAAAGTTAGGCTTATAAGAGTCTCAGGGGCTTTGCGCATCCCCGCCTTGCCCATGCCCATGCGGCTTCTCCTACTCCGCTTTCCCATCGTTCAAAACGCGGCGGCCTTCTGCTAGATTGTTCTTCGTTGGTAGCTAGGAATTCTCCCATGATCAGGATCTTTCGAGTTAAAGGTATCAGTGCTATGAAGCTTTTTGAAAAGGACAGGTTGCTTTGTTCAAGAAAAGTTCGGTAAGAAGTTGAGCCAAGGTATTACTTGGTAAACACCTGCTGGTGTCTCTCTGAGGCAGTCAAACAGAAGGACAAAGATGGCCAAGCGGGCAATTGTGTATATGCCACCGCCAATGATGGTGAGAAGAAGGGATGCCTTTTCGCATGCATTTTGAAACTTCTTCCACCACGCGACGTCTATGCTTATTTGGCTGTCGCTGATTTCTTGATCGATAAGTTCTCCCTCACGAATTCCCTCCAATGCTCCTAGATGGAAAGTTGACAAATTTTGCTGTTTTTAGGCTATGGAAATCGCCAGTCAGTCAAGTTCGCCACGTAATGCGGCTTACTGTTACGGGCTAGAGCCCGGCTGAGATCTCCGGCTTTGCCGGAGCAGCTACCGAGACCCGGCTCCGCCGGGTCCACTATTCTGCCGTAGCACACCGCCTAGCCCCGGTGTGCTTCACCGCCGCTAGGCGCCTATCCCTGTAAAGTCCCTTCTTCCTTCTTCAGCTTAGAATAGTCAATCGACGGCACCTCTACGTTGAACAAGCCTAGGGGCCAGCCCCTTACACTTACCTAGGCTTCTGGGCAATCAGATACTTCTCAAGGATTATAATGATTGTAGTCTTTTGCGGCAGCTGATGCAACATATTGAATGGCGTATTTATGCCTTGAATATTTAATGATCCTTGACTAATCTCATACCGATTGCATGATTGTCCTCAACATCCACTCTTGGTAATCACATTTGACATCTCGGATACGAGATGATAGTCCTCCCTATCGAACTGACGAATGAGACACGTGCATGATCATGGTTGCCACCTCCCATCGGCAGGATGAATGCAGATCCAAAACAACATCATCGACTTGGAAAGGCCTGTTGTTTCTCCGGGGACTTTTATCGCATTCGACATTACAAGGAAGAATGGAGTTGCAGGCCAAAGTAGGAAAAGAATATGGCGAAGAAAACAATGAAGCTGTTAAGGGGGTAGCTGCTAAGAACCAATTCAACAACTAATGCAAGGACAATTTACACTCCTCAAGTCAGGTAGCCACCATCTTCGGCGCGAACTCGGATGATGTCCGTCTACCGTTCGCCGTTGCCGGCTCCACTTCGGCGGTCCGTGCCTCTCGGTGTCATCGCCGTTGTGAAACAGGAGGCACGCACTCGACAATCAGATGAAACTTGGCTTGTATTATGAATTACCTGAGACGAGATACGGCGCTCAGAAACAACATGCAGCACGCGCGCCGCGCGTTCTCATCTGGCGATACCGGCGTCAGAAAATTCCTCCAGCCCAACACATCGTGTCCACCGGCCCAACCTGCGCGCTTAGAACGAGCTTGCGAAGAGGGCCAGCAGACCGGCAGCGGCCGCGCTCAAGACCGTCGTGGTGGAGAACCCTGTTGACTTCTGTCCCATGGAAATGTTTGTGGGCCTCGCAGACGGCGTCACACCTCCGGTGGGAGCGGTGCTGCTGCTGTTGTCCTTCCTCGAGTTTGCAGCATTCGCCGCAGGTCCGGGGTTGGTCACGGTAAAGAAGTTGCCGGCCACCACCTTGTTTGCCAGTCCCGCTTGAGTGAGCACATCGTTGACCTGAACGCCTCCTCTGGTCGAAAGGGCCTGCAATGCCGCGGTTCCCTCTGCCGTGATGTCGCTGGTGTCGACCAGAATCTCGATGTAGCGATGGGTGAGAGGAACTCTTGCCGGTGGCGAGGGGCCCTTGTAGTCCGCAATCGCAGCCGCGTTGGTCGTCAGAGTGTGAATGGTGCGCTCGCCATCATTCAGCTTGACTGTCGTCGTCTGCGCGACGGGAGTTAAATCCGTCTGGGCCCAGTGCAGGAAGGTGCCGGTCTGCGGGGGGTTGTTGGTCGGAATATCGACGTCAACCATAATGATGGCATAGCTCTTTCCGGTCAACGGCTCGGTCGTACCGAAGGTAGGCTCCTGTTGCGTGACTAGTCCGGTTAGTCCGAGTCGTTCTGATGTCATGTGGTCTCCTAGCACTTACGGCCCTTCGCCAGATCAACACCGTTGAGAGCCGACTGGTCTCCATAGGCAACAATGAGGTCGACATTGGACGCGGGTTGAAAGCCTGAGGGAGTCGCAGCCCAAGCCACCAGGGCATTGCTCACCAGGAGGGCGACGGTAGATTGATGCATCGGGACGGTATTTTGAGGAGAACTGCGCTGCGCTGAAGGATGTAGATCAGAGGTGACAGCAAGATTTGATACGGAGAGGTTGTCTGTCGTCTTATATCAATGTCGCAAGCCGCTTGATGAAACGCAAGATCAAGTGAGCAGGGATGCGGCTCGCACACGTTCCACCGGTCTGCCCGCAGACCGCACGGATCATTGAGCTTGACCATAATGCAGACCAGGCGTCCCTGGTCACTTACGCAACGGTTTTGAACTGAGGCACTGCTTCGTAATACCCAACTGCCGAGTCAAATGCAGCATTGTGGCGGCCTTTCTGCGGGCAAGTAGCGCATCTCGACGTCCGCTTGACTGTTCATGGGGGCTTGCATAAGGCTACTTGAGCACGATGAGCTTCTCACATATGGAAATCCTATGTCTTTCGATGTTCAGTTCATTAATGATCTGCAATAATTGGAAAACAAACAAGCTCAAACTAGTCTTTACAGTCTTTTGCGGCTCGTTGACGGTGAGGCTCCTCTTCGGACGACCCACTAGTCTCTAGTTTGTGTGACAGCGACGTTTGACTTCAAACGAACGGCCAGGGGTCGCGAGCTGGATATCAGACACAGTGGAGTTGTGCCAAGAATTAAAGATGAGGTAGAACTGATGGCGGTGAGTTAAGTGGCGATGGAACGCCAGATCGCTCTCTAGTTTCAATAAAAACGCATGCTTGCGTGGATTGGACCTCAAATAGCATTAAATCTCGCCCATCTCCTGCGAGGACAAACCTAACAGCAAAGTCACACGAATCGCCAAGCCAGGATTCATACCCAAACAAGCAAGGAAGTAAGAACAAATAAAGTATAAATGAAAACGGCCAGAGTTCCGCCTGTCTTGACTTTGCAAGCTCACTCCTAAGAAATTAAGTCGCAGAAGACGGTCGGAGATGATATCGCACGTGTTCCACGTCGTATTGGAGGATACCGCTGTCTCGAGCTGCCGCATCCTCCGCGCCACGACGAACGTAGCCTTTCAAAGATGCATCAAGATCTCTCAGATCAACCTCCTCGTTTGTGATCACAAACACAAGTCGCTCTTCGATATTTCCAGCTTTAGGGATAGATTTCGGCCACCGCATTGGTATGCCTCGCAAGGGAAGGGTCTTGACTGCAAGGGTGTGTGAGCGTGCTGGTGTCAGACCTATGCCCCTCTCCCATGCTTTGGTTATCAACGTAGTCTTCCCAGCGGCATCTATGCTGAGTGCGTTGACGAAGATCTTGTTTGTACTCGTGTTTTTGATCGAGATGTACAGTCGGTCGTTCTCTTTGAGAGATAGAGGAGGTCTGTCAATCATCGCTGCTGGCAACCTAGTGATTCATCAACACGTTATGTCAAACTAAGGTAGGAGCGAGCCTTTTGACTTACGAGTCACTTCTACGTGCAAGGACAGTCTTTTTGCCACTGCTCTCGAGTCCCAGCTCTATCTCCATACTGTCACCGAAGGCCTCGTCGTCTACACCTGACCGGAGTGAAAGAATGTTCTGTGCTTGAACGTATTCTTTGGCTTGATACAACACTCTACTGAACACTTGTTCCAGGCCAGTTTCGCTGACGAGACGCTCGGCGGCCAGTTGTAAGCCTCGTTTGTCGTCTAGAATGATTTGATCCCGTGCATGTTTGAGGCGAAGGAGGGGCCGTTCTTGCTCTGTGCATTGCCTGAGAAACAACGACTTATCCAACAGGGAAACGATTTTAGGATGACTTTGAAAGTCGCGTGGCAAAAGAACTGGCCAACGAGTAAGGCTTCGTTGCAGAACTGCATGACCTGCCATAGACTCTTTCATACATCCGAATGCTGAAGGCTTTGGCGTTGGACTAATGACCGCCGCAAAGGCGTTGACTTGGGTGACAGTTCCCGTAAGAACTTTGCTTCCAGGTTGAGTGTGGGATCCGAAAGGTGTGATCGCAAAAACGTCTCCCTCGTGGACTCCGTGGGCTCGGCCCCCACGCACCGTCGTGTATTCGTCGTCCCATAAAGTTGAGAGGAGGGCTCCGGTAGCGTTAGTCGCGAGTGAAAAGGGCCTTCGGTTGTCAGGTCCTGCCGATCTTGGGTGCTGATTTCCTCCTGGATAATCCTGTTCGACTAGCACAGCAACTTCGAGCATAATATCTCTCCAAGATCGGTTATCGCCGGGCTTCGTAATTGCTTTCGCAAGGCTTTTGGTCAAGAGACCCATGTACGTATGGCCATCTTTGTGGTATTCCCATGCAGTTTCATCGGTAGCTGCGGCCGCTATGCGCACCGCATAAGGGTTGGTATCCATTTCATCTTCTGCTAGCCGACCATTCTGCCTTAGCTTGTCTAGAATTTTGGCAAGATCCGAGTGCAAAGATTTGTCCAGACCGAAAGCCTTTGGTTCAAAGTGAACGTCGCCGAGCTTGCGACCAAGCCGAGCAGAATGGCAGCAGTCAAGGATGTATGTGACATTTGTGGTCTTGGCGGTCGTCTTTCGAAGCAAGAGAGAGAGTTCTCCATCGGAAATACCTTTCCATGTCTCGAGAGTGCAGTCGAAGTCGTACGGGACGATGAATTGAATCTTCGTTGGTGATCTTGAGGATGCAGTCGCCGAGTCAGGTTCCACGCAAACTCCATGGCCAGAATAGTAAATGACAACAACATCACCCTGTGAGGTATCGCGGATCAGGTTTTCCCAAGCGTCGAGAATCTTTTGGCGAGTGGCGTCCTGGCGGAACAATCTTCTCACATAAGTCTCGCTCTCTGTCCTGAAACCGCGGCTTTTGAGAATATTTGTTATTGTATTGAGGTCATTTTCGGTTCCACGCAGGCCTTGTACTGGGCTGCCGATGAGCAGCGCGCGCTTTATCGGCATTGTTCCCATGTTTTGGGCGCTCCCACACTCTACCTCGGCAAGAAAGGAAGGCAAACTGATGAAGGCTACTAGCCTAGCTGGCTTGTGCTGGTGTGAAGCTGATGGATCTGTGTAAATGAGGCAATCTCGCTCATCTGCAGTTGCCTTATATCACCAACTAAAAGTGCGATGATGCCAAGGCAATTTGTAGACAAGGCTGCCAGTTGCCTACTAGGCAGCTGGCTCTCCTGCTACCCCTCATTTTACCAGATGAGCCATCCTATGGCAACGAAACCCACTACACACACCTTTCCTTCGTCATCCTTGTCCTGTATACTTTGTGGTTCTATCACAGCCATGCCTGCGCGCTCTTTTCATCGTGAATATTGCGCTGAGTGTCGTTTCTTTGCCAACCAACATCTTCAATCAGCTGGATGTGATCGATAGCCAACACAAGGACCATCATCAAATGCACCGCCTTTGGAGTCCAGTGCCATTTTCTGCAGCCATAAGACCGCAGCCCAAACGACGGAGGTGTACGAGTCTGATCCTACCGTCTCAAGCCGACTCATCGCAGAGCCTGATTTGTGCAGCATCAGGGAACCTCGCTGCACATACAGGGATCATGCAGGACTGAATTAGATCAGAAGGCCAAATAAAAGTCGACCACACCATCAGCGCCCGGTGAGTAAGTGCGAATGCGGACCATTTATTACGTCGGTCACTTAGCCCAGCTGCAGGCAACCCGCGTGCGCAACCGCGGTTCTTTATTAGCGATCACGGATCACCCATAAGAAATCGACTGGATCACGCCCAAACCATCGTATTTTAGCCATCACTACAACAACTCGTCATACTTCATTTGTGATCACAAATTCTGCAATCCACACAAAATGTCTTCACTCTTCTCGCGGGCAGGCATTGCTCATTTTGATCAACACACGCGAAAGTGCCCCTATCTAACCTTCAAAGTGGGTTCTGGGGGCCTTCGGCGGCTGGCCGTCAAAATCTGGTCTCACGACCAAGGTACGTTCAAATTCTACCGCTGGCACTACCATGAAACCCTTCCTGATTACTTTTGGGTGTGTTAGGATATTCCAGTGATTCATCTCATTCAGGGAATCGATTTTCCAACTCGCACACCTGGTTCGCCTTGGGTGCAATTCAGGGATCAGCTGAAGCAGATGAAGTCCCCGACGATGAGCTGTTCGAATTTCAGAGAAATGCACGCGCTCTGAGCGCGGTGCAATGCCATTACAACGAGTGGGTCATCGGGTTGCCGGCGTCGGAAGAAGACGAGGACAGCTACATTCAATTTTGGCTAGAATCTCTTGCAGATGCGGAAGGATTCAAGATTGGCATCTTTCCACTGGCCCGATATCCAGGATGGGTCAATACCGTTTGGAAAATGGAAGTTGAGGTCACTTGTGGGAGCACAGTTGATAGCCCACTGCCTGCGCTCCATGTTGGCGTCGACTTTGATGACAATGAGCATACCATTCATTCGAAGCGCGGTATCAGACATTCGGTCAGCACAACTCATCTATCAGAGGATGAAATAACGACTATTGGCCATGAGAGTATCGAATTAACGCTACAAGATGACCCACACCACTCGAACCAGCTGGAAGATGTCGGTACTTGGCTTCTGGAACGATTCCGTATCAGCCATTCTCTTCCAACTCTGGAACTTGCGAAAAGATTCTTAAGACTTGTGGTGGAAAACACTCCATATGGTCATCCTCGACAAGCTCGGCGATCGATCAACTTTGCCCTTAGTTTGGGGTTAGGACATGAGTTCACTGACTCCAAGTCCATAACCGATCTTACCCGCGCTATAGACATCCTCACAGTGGCTCTTCACACTGAATTGACGTCTTGTAGTGCCCAGGGTGGTATTGATCGTGGTCTCGTGCTGAATAATCTTGGTAATTTCCTGGGAAGACGGTTTGACTACACAATAAGCCTACAGGACCTCGACCAGGCTATCAATTACTTGGAGATGGTAATCGAGATAACCCCAGCAGATCATCCGGATCGCGGCGGTCGACTAAACAACCTTGCTGCATGGCTGACGAGGCGTCTTCGGTACAAGAGCCAGATAAGCGACATTGATCGGGCGATCGATCATACGGATGAAGCACTCAAGAGAATACCCGTATATCATCCGAAGTACGCGGGTTGGTTGATCAATCTGTCAAATCGACTAGGTGCGCGATTCGAAAGGACTGGCTCAATTGCCGACATGCATCGAGCTATTCAAGCTGCGGAGACAGCGGTGGAGATCACGCCTCACGTCCACCCACAGCGCCCTAATCGCTTGAATAGCTTAGGAGAGCTTCTTCGCGTTCGATTTGAGCGTACTCATACCATGAAGGATATCACTCGCGCTATACAGATTGTCAATGAAGGCATTGATGCTACTCCTCAAACCCATCCAATGTTGGAAGCTCTGCTGCTAAGCAACCTTGGAAGCTGCTTCGGGAGGCTATTCGGGCGCTCTGGCTCGTTGGACGATCTCAATAGATCCATCGAGGCACTCAGCAAATCCTTGGGGAAAACACCTAAAGATCATTTTGACAGTATCATCAGGCTGGACAATCTGGCAATCCAGCTGAGCCTAAGGCATACGCGAACGGGCTCTATGGCTGATATTGATCGTGCTGTGTCCTCTCTGCAAGCTGCACTTGACCTGACACCCAGCGATCACTCCTATCGAGGAGTCTTGCTAAGCAACCTTTCCCTTTGTTTGGGCACGCGTTACTATCGCACCAAGTCAGTCAATGATATCAACAGTGCCATTGACGCTTTGGACGAAGCGATTGAAAATGTTTCCGAAGGTCATCCAAATCATGAGAAATTCTTGTTCAATGTTGGTGCTTGGCTGGGTGTACGAAACCTGGGTTTTGGCTCAGACGAAGACCTCGACCGAGCCATTGCTTCGTTGACTAAAGCACTTGTCAACACACCTGAGGACCATCCTGATCGCGCGATGCAGCTGAATAATTTGGGGAAGTGGTTAACAGTGCGGTCTAAGAGAAGCACTTCAATGGCTGATCTCAACTTAGCTGCTGAGACCCTGAAGAGAGCAGCATCGACGATTCCAGCGGATCACTACGATCGCATCAATGTCTTCAAAAACCTTGGAGACTGCTATCATTTGCGCTTTCTTCGGACAGGCTCTGCAGAAGACTTTCAAAGTCAGCTGACTTATTGCCTTCAGGGATGGCATTGCGAAAACTCCTCTCCGTCAACACGCATACAACTGGCTCAAATTGCCGCTCAGCTCCTCGGCATCCAGTCAAGATGGAATGATGCAAACGATATGCTGAAGGGTGCAATTATTTTGATGCCAACGCTGAGCCCTCGAGCCCTCAAACGCACTGATCAGCAGCATATGCTTGCAGATGCGTCCGGCATAGCTTCCGAAGCTGCGGCTGCGGCTCTCAATGCAGGAGAGCCTCCGGAAGAATGTCTAAGACTTCTGGAGCTGGGACGTGGTGTCATGGCATCTCTTCTGCTCGAAACTCGAACCGAGACCACCGACCTGGAGCAATCCTTTCCTGACTTAGCCACGAGATTTGAGTCCCTTCGAGATGAATTGGACGCCCCGCTCAATTTGGAAATGACTCGAATATCTGTTGACCATGACGATTTATCGTCTTGGGAGACACAAGCTCAGCGACGCCGTGAACTTGACATATCTTTCAAAGAAGTCATCGAAGAGATTCGCACCAAAACTGGATTCGAGAATTTCCTATTGCCACCCGAAGTGCAGGATCTCCTTGGTGCTGCTTCTTCTGGTCCTATCGTTGTTTTGAACGCAAATCACTGGCGCTGCGATGCGTTTTTGATTACATCCAACGACATACAATTGGTGTCGCTTCCGCTTTTGGCGGATGCCATCGAGGGAACTATGGAGGTTTCTTCGTCTATGCTGGAGAAACTCTGGGATAATGCCGCCAGACCCGTTTTAGAACAGCTGGGGTTTTGCAAACGTCCCGAGGGTGACAACCTGCCGCGTTTATTTTGGATCCTCACTGGATCGTTGAGCCGGCTTCCATTCCATGCTGCGGGTTACCATTACGAGGATTCTTCCGATACAGTGCTAGACTGTGTGGTCTCTTCGTATGGCACTTCCATCAAAGCCTTGTTGCAATCCCGCCGAAGTTCGACCCTGAAAATTGGTCGCAATGCTTCTCGAGAGGCTTGCCTCGTCTCAATGCAAACTACTCCTCCCCATGGCGGTTTCAGCCCCAGCGACCTGGAGTTTGCCGAGGAGGAAATACAAATGCTAGACAGTCTTTTATACCCAAGCGTCGCGACCAGCTTGCTGAGTCAACCAGGTAAAGAGACTGTATTGCACCAGATTGAGGGCTGTACCGCATTTCACTTTGCGGGCCACGGCAACACGGATCCCTTGGATCCGTCGAAGAGCTGCTTACTTCTCAACGATTGGGCTGATGATCCGCTGACTGTTGAGAGCCTTACCTCACTGAGGCTTTTCGACAAGTCGCCTTGGCTGGCTTATCTTTCAGCATGTTCCACTGGCGAGAATCGGGCAGAGAATCTCCAAGACGAGTCAATACATCTTGTTAGTGCTTGCCAGTTAGCAGGGTTCCCGCATGTGGTCGGGTCGCTATGGAAGATAGATGACCAATGCTCATTTGAAGCAGCTACGGAGGTGTATAGAACAATTCAGGAGCGTGAGTGGACTGATGAGTCTGTGGCACTTGGTGTTCACAACGCCGCAAGACTTCTTCGGAGCAAAACCCGCAGAGACGGACAAGACAGGGGTAGAGGATTGGACTACGCTGTCCGTGACGAAGGTAATCCGTCGATATGGGCTGCGTACATCCATGTCGGGCCATAGGAAAGCTTTTAGTATCTTCCACGGCGGTTGGTTAATTACGTTAGTGCAAAAGGTTCGTGCCTGTTCTTACTTTGGATTTTCTCGATTCAATCAGAAATGAGGGTGTAAAGCGATGAACGGGTATTGATTGCAGTTGTGCCAAGTGCCT